GGTGGCCCGGGCTGAAGCGCCGTGGCCAACAAGGCCCCAGTCAGGGTCCAGCCTCCATCTGGCTGCAGCATCCTATTCCCGGCCCCGAGGTCCGGCTGCAGGAAGGGCTGGGGGCAGCCCCCTCCTGCTGTGGCCTGGGTAGGAGGGGAGGCCATAATCTAGCTTTGGTGATCTTGGTTCGGCCCCTCATCCAGCCACTACTGCCCGGGTGCAGCAGTGGTCTCACATTGCGGTGGGGGAGGTCTAGGTTGGATCTGAGGAAAAACCACTCCACTAGGAGGGTGGGGAAGCCCTGGGATGGGTTCGCTACGGACGGGGTGGAATCTCCATCCCTAGAGGTGTTTAAGTCCTGGCCTGTCTAGCTTTGGTGATCTTGGTTCGGCCCCTCATCCAGCCACTACTGCCCGGGTGCAGCAGTGGTCTCACATTGCGGTGGGGGAGGTCTAGGTTGGATCTGAGGAAAAACCACTCCACTAGGAGGGTGGGGAAGCCCTGGGATGGGTTCGCTACGGACGGGGTGGAATCTCCATCCCTAGAGGTGTTTAAGTCCTGGCCTGACAAAGCCCTGGTGGGCTGATTGAGTTGGGGTGGGTCCGGCTTTGGGCAGGGGGCTGGACTCGATGACTCCGGAGGTCTCTGCCAGCCCTGGGATTGTATGATTCAAAATAAGAACGTACTCGGCCTCCCGAGGCAGGTTGTGCTTTCCCCCGTGGCAGGAAGGCAGCCGGCCTGCGGTGGGGCAGCAAGAAATACCAATGGCTGATTTTCCAGCCAGGCGCCCCAGGCTGACTTCTGTGTTCTCTCGCACAGGTACAGTCCCCAGGCGGCGCGGAACGGAGGGAAGGCGCAAGCGGGCGCCCCCAGTGATCAGCCAGCTCATCGACAAACTGAAACACATCAACCAGGTGGGTGTGAGGGGGGTTCCCAAACTCGCCCGGCTTTGCCCGATGAGGGAAAGGCCTTGGATTTCATCAGCCTGTTGTGGTGAGAGAGGGGTCTGAGCTCGGCCTGGCATGAGCCTCCTGCCTCAGCCCTCTGCCACCGGAGGAGTCCCACCGAGTGTGGGATCCATAGTCACGACACACGCTTGCCCCCAGCCCCAGCAGCCGCCCTTACGGTCCAGGCTGGGCCTCAGAGAAGGCTGAGGGGGGACATGATTGCACTCTTTAAATATATTAGAGGGATAAATGCTAGGGAGGGAGAGGAATTATTTAAGCTCAATACCAATGTGGACACAAGAACAAATGGATACAAACTGGCTAGTAGGAAGTTTAGACGAAGGTTTCTAACCATTAGAGGAGTGAGGTTCTGGAACGGCCTTCCAAGGGAAGTAGTGGGGGCAAAAGATCTATCTGGTTTCAAGATTAAACTAGATGGGTTTATGAAGGGGATGGTTTGATGAGACAACACGATCTTGGTAACTAATTGACCATTCATTATCAGTGGGAAATACGTCAATGAAGGGATGATAGGAGTTACTATAGAGAACTTTCTGGGTGTCTGGCTGATGAGTCTTACCCACGTGCTCAGGGTTTAGCTGATCGCCATATTTGGGGTCGGGAAGGAATTTTCCTCCAGGGTAGATTGGCAGAGGCCCTGGAGGTTTTTCGCCTTCCTCTGTAGCATGGGGTACAGATCACAGCTAGAGGATTCTCTGCATCTTGGGGTCTTCAAAGTATTTGAAGGATTCAATATCTGAGATATAGGTGAGAGGATTATTCTAGGAGGGGTGGGTGAGATTCTGTGGCCTGCACTGTGCAGGGGGTCAGACTAGATGATCATAATGGTCCCTTCTGACCTTAAAGTCCATGAGTCTATGCGAGAGACTAGAGGTTCAGGAGAGAAGACCGACTTGGAGGAGAGATCTGAAACTATATTGCCCCAGATGCCACACATGGATGAGTTGTGGATCCCATGGCCACACTCTGCCTAACATCAGAGCAGGTGTTGCATAGTGTGGTTCCCTTCTGTGACCTTGACTATAATTTAATCAGAGCTTACAGCAGGATCACGTGACACAGCGTAAATAAAACCAGTTCAACAAATGTGGCATGGCATAGCAATAAATTCCATGGAAAATGGAAGCTCCAATCGACTTTCTCTCGACCACTTATTGCTCTAACTACCATTATCATGTCCCCTCTTATTACTCTTCTATGCTAAAACAATACCTGTATGAGAGCTTCCCAATCCCCTAACTAGTTGTTACTCTTATTTGGCCTCCCTCTAATTGTTTTGGACATAAAGTGGCTAATACAGCACAGTCTCCTAGATGAAACTGCATCATTGATTAATAGAATGACGTGATTTTCAATGTACTGTCTGTCCCATTCCTTATGGGACACCACTTTCCTGAGTTGATATAGTTTTCCTGTTGGAATTCTGCAACTGTTGCATTTGAAACTATGGTATTGTTGCAGAATTCCACCAGTGGTTACTGTGAATTCACAACGTTAATGTTTTAGTGCTTCAGACTGGCAGCAGCAAATGGGGCCCAGTTACAGTATTTGGATTACTTAGTGCAAGTGTGAGTTGTGCATTATCATTAAAGATTATTGATGTTGCGTCCAATGCACAAATCGAGCTCTGTATGTGTCACCTGGCATTATCGGTCGTACTGGTACCGAGCCTGATTACATAGCAGGAGTTAGGAGGATGAAACTGACAACTCTCCAATCCACAGACATGTCACAGGACTATACTGCAGTCCATTAACATTTGCCACTCCCATCCACATGCTAGGATAATAGGCTTTTGTTGAAGCCTATGGCAGTAGAATTGCTTGAGCTTTCTGGCAATTATTGCAGGCTTGCTTAAAGATCACTGTGTGGCCATTCCCATTTGTATATTTCCAAATTCAAGGCCAACTTTCCAGCCCAACCTGTTCTGCTTTGAGGATTTAATTCATAACTAAGATCTTACCATTGGCTCACAGGTATTTTGTCATAATTCATGTAGCAACTCAGTTATTCAGCTAGTTTATCTCCACTGGTATTTACCTAAAAGAATATACTCTAATTCCACAATCTTGCCATTCAGATTGGCTCCTACAGTACTGCACAAATAGTTTATCAATATTTAAATTGCAATTGTGTCTTGTTTACCTAAATCCTGTTTCTACTACAGTTGGACAAATACACTAGCATCAAGCTACCCATGAAAAAGTAATAATAATACCAGAGACTAGCACGTGCATGGAATTTCACTGATGTCGAGTCAGAATTACCGAGGGCAGGATTGGGTATAAATCTGAAGTAACTCCTTTATGGGGGGGAAAAAACAAAAAATGGTCTGGTAGCACTTTATAGACTAACAAGGCATGTAGATGGTATCGTGAGCTTTCATGGGCACAGCCCACTTCTTCAGATGACTGGAGTTATGAGTTTAGGATGTGCAGACCCAAAATAAATAGGAGAGGGGAAGGGGAGATAGAGGGAATCAGTAAGTATCTGAAGATTGGGTAGTTAAAATGAAGCAGATAAGTATCAAAGTCAATAGATAGTATCCTTCCTGACATGGAGTCTACACAAAGAGCTGTTTGCACCTTTAACAGCTGTTAAGTTGGTAGTGCCCCAACCAACTTTCATCATGATTGAGTCCATTAACATGTGAATTGAATTTGCAGGTGAACTCTAATCCCAATGCTTCTCTGTGGATCTGGCTAATAGAACTGGTTTGTGACAAGACAGCTACTTGAAGATCTTTTAAACAGTGATTCCACAGCAAAAGCTTTGCCATGGGGGGTTCCTTTTTGGGGTCCCTTCTGTTACAGTTAATGAAGCAGCCTTACTAAACGTGTCTGTAGCTTATGTGATTGCTACCTATCTACTGAACTCTGACATTATCATCTTATTCCTCTGTCATTACTGGCTTTGTGACCTGCTGTTCTCTAATGCTGTGCTCCATATGATGTCCTTACACAATCACACATAGTATCCTTCAGATCAACAGGCACTAGTCAGGTAGGCCTGAGTGCTATAAATGCATGTGTATGTGAGTTACTTTATGTACTTGAGTAGTTCTGCTGAATTTACTCAGGTGAATAGAGCATATGCATGAATAGTTGCAGCCTCATAGCCGTTAATGCTACTTTGCATGCATAAAAATCACACAGTCCAGTATTACAAGGTAAAACACATACCTTGGCCTTTATGTCCTGAATTTAACCACTCTATTTTATTTCAGAACGTACATTTCAGTCTTACTGCAAGAAAAAAAAATTACTCGCAGTATAAAATTAGAGTAAAATGTACAGAAAAATTGCATTCAATTTGACATTTGTTTCTCTACTCCCTAGCCTATTCTCCTCAATTTCTCCTTCTACCATTACTTATTTAGCTCAGTAATTGTATTTAGCTGAGTAAAGTGTTTTGGGATCAAAATGGGATATAAAGTAAACTTATCACATGCACCATTTCAAGTACTTTTCCTTGGAATGAAAGAGGAAAAATATTCTTTTGATGCATATAATTTTGCTGTGTTTCCTAGGTCTCATGGTTTTCTTCTGACAGTAAACATTATATTTTCTTTAAGTTGTCTTCAATTAAGAATCTGATCCATCCTCCACTGAAGTCCATAGGAGTCTTTCTATTTGTTTCCAAAGGAGTCAGGCCAGGCTCCAAAATAATTTTTAATTACAGTTATAAACGGGGACACAAAGGCTATGTCCACACTGCCGGTTTTTTTCCGGCACAAGATATGCAAATTGCACTCATTTGCATATCTTCTGTCGATCCTTTTCGTGGAAGAGGCTTTGGGGCTGAAAAACTCATGTAGATGAGGCTATTTGTCGGAAAAAAACCCTTTTCCCTGTAAACCTCATTTTTTGAGGAATAAAGGATCTTGTGAAAGGGGTTTTTTCCCTGACAAATGGTCCCGTCTACACGGGGTTTTTTAATGGCAAAACTTCTTCCACAAAAAGGATTGGCAGAAGTTATGCAAATGAGAGTACGATTTGCATATGTTTTGCTGAACTCTTTCTCCCCCTCCCCCCAGTAGTATAGACATAGCCAAAGTGAAGAACCAGAAAATGCCCCTGGGACGTCCACCCCACAGGGGGCTGGAAGGGGTGAGGGTGACCAGTCTGGCCACCTAATCCAGTAAACTGCACCTGGAGGAGGAGTCAGGCAGTTGAGAACTGATTGATTAGGCCAGGATCAATTGCACTTGAGCAAGCGGGGTGGGCTTGCAGAAAGCCGGCTAGCAGGCAGCAGCTGGGAA